TCATCATACCTGTCCATGACATATGGTCATGCGCTGGAATTAGTATTATTCCGTTTCAATATGATAGTCCTACGGATTCCATTTTTGAGGTTGCTTTGTGAATGTTCGAAGAAGACCCGCCTGGAAAATTTGTTTATAGAAACATCTCTTTGAGGATTATTTCCGAGGGTCTTCACGTAGTGAAAACAGTGCCTAGTTTTGCTTGCTTGGGTATAGCATTTGAAGTTAAATTGGCCTTACACTCTCTTCGGAGGCAACCTTGAGTTTGGCACTTCAGGAGATGTCAAGCCACGCAAGTAGACAGTGAATGATTCGTCGTTTTTTTTTAATATTTATTTTCTCGCCACTTGCCATCATACCGTTATATATATAGACAATATATTGTAAAAGGGGTAGAAATTAGTTTCATACTGATGATTTTATTTTATTTTTGACAAACGTAATACGCGCCTTTCACTCTGGATCCAAAGCTAGTGGCTATTCAATTTTGGTGTTATTTAAGGTTTCTCCTGGTTATCTTGGAACCTGTATTAATTTCTGTCACATTTGATAGTGACTTAATTATAGTTCAATTCTAAATGCAAATTGTATGTCCATAGATATTATTTATTTATATGAATTTACCTACTGACAAATAGTATATTTTCGTGAAGTATTTATAATAAATCAGATCATTTTTTTTTTTATTTGTGATAAATCAGTTCATTATGTCAATTGTATTATGACAGATGGGCTTAAGTTCATTCGGTAATTTAGGAACAGGGTTCAGACAAGCATTCGGTAGGGGTAAAATTACCTGGCGCCCACAATTAAAATTTCATTTGCATATTTTCCCCACTCCCGTCTTCACTCAGCCGGCGCCGAATTATTAGGCTGTCACAGTGACAACCCAACACCGTAACGTGGGGCTACTAGAAAGAAAATTTGAAATGTACAAGATTTCGCCAATTGGATGCCGAAATATACTTATAAGAGTTTGAAAGGGATACTTTGAAGTTTGGAACACATCGTACATCGCACTCTATCTTCATTGAAAGTACTTCAATAATAATTGGAAAGATAATTCACTGAATGTAAACAACAATAGTTTAACTCTGTAATCTCATGGCCCACCAGTTAACAAAAAAAAAGGAGAGAGGGACCTACGGGTGCTTGAAAATTGTTATTCTGGCGTTTTCGAATGATTATACCTTGTGGAACAAATTGGTACCGTTACAAATTACAGAAACACCACAGCATTCACCATTGGGTGCCTGTAGGCCACTATACAGGCGGTACGGCAACACCGCCATCCCTTGCAGTGACAGTGATCGATCGTTACACGGCCATCGTGTCGTGCCGTTTGAGAATCGATTTACTTTCTCACCTATCTATTGGAATTTGGACGTCAGAATTTTAATGGACCGACTAAATTCGATGTGTGTGCAAGTACCCTGACAGTCGATAACTGTTGCTGCAAGGAACTAGGCTGGTGCTATGCCATCTGTACGTCGATCACATGTTCGATCAAACTTTTAGCGACCGTTCAAATTTGATTTATGTGTAAGTAGTGTCACCTGTCGTGACGATTATTGTAGTATACTCGTCAGAAACCAATGAAAAACTGATCATTTCATATTCCCTCAAGAGTGAATTCTGAAAATGCTGTCATTTGTGTCTACTCCTAGTATTTTCCTCAGTTGTTGGCATCAATCCAATTGCCCTACCTCATCATTTTTGATACCTTCAAACACTTCATAAAATGAAACATTGACCACCATTATATATTAATTTCTATAAAAGGGCGTAAGACTAGCATAGATCAATACTTTTTCAACATTCTCATAAATTCTGATGACAGTTTAACCCAGTAGAAGTGATCTTGAGTTCGAGCCTGAGTTCTTTTGTTTCGAAATTGAGTTCACCTGCTTGAGCAAAGTTCTACACAACTTTGGTGATTGTTCCAAATTTGGATCCTTCGTCCTATTTCGGTTCGACGCCACTTCTCAGTCAGCTTCGAACTTCTCAATTTCTAAACTTTCAAAATTATCTACAAATTTGTTATAATGTACCGATCTCAATAGTTTGAAAGATTCATCACTTATTCTGTGGCCGTTTTCTGAAGCATGTTTAGTGGCACTAAATTTATCTGGTCTATGAAACCTGATATGTGGAACATTATCCTTGTAGCGAACTATGGACATTCCGCTCAGTTTGACCAACATCTTTTTTATCGACATAGTGGTATTTATTGATATCTTTTCGAAATCATGTCTTCACACACTAGGCTCACTAAAGAATACCTGATATATCGAGAGAAAGAACCACAGTGAAGTTCCACTAATAGTACAATATATCCTAGTAGTGTTCCAGCTAGAGAGAATCATCAAAAACATAACCCAGAAGTTAAAAGAAGGTCTAGGACGACATGAAGTGAAGAACTGACTTGAATCTCAATGAAAAATTGTAACATATAACCAATATATTCATTCATAACTAACATATTTCATCGTCAACAATCATAAGGTTGATGCGGTTATTCGTAAATAAAAAGTCAAAATTAAAATGAGGCAACAGAATATGTTCCCCAGTTGACATGGAATACAATACACAAAAACTTTCACGTCATTTAGTTACTTTGAATTTGGAACCTCTCCAGGTTCAAATTAATTCGAAAGTGCACAAGAGTATATACATTGATACTGAAATTGCATAAAAGTAGGCACTAAATTCTCAAAAATATTATTGCATTAAAAGGAAAACATTGTTGGCAGGTTGTGTTTCTATGTATTTTATCATCTTCTATATAAATCATACACACGCAGCTGAATGGTCACTAACGGACAACGTGTTTTATTCCAAACAATTTGAATACTATTCTGTGACAATTTATAAATGACAAAGACAGGGNTCTTTTGTCGGTTGTCCAGGTAATAATTTTGATTTTTATGTATTCTGGAATAATTGCATCACCACAATTTTTTATTGAATGTAGCAAGATTTCTATTTCAGGTTTTTAGGCATGGATTCAGGACACCAATAATATTCTACCCAACTGACCCTTATCAAGATAAGAAATATTGGAACGGACTAGGACCAGGTGAACTAACAGATGTAAGTTACGTTGTATATTTTCAATCGATCAAATAGTGGAATGCTAATAATTTGACCTCTATACTCGTGAAGTTAGCAAGGAAATGTATACAGTGCGGAATTGAATAAAGAGGCATCATGTTCACCACTTTTTGATAAAAAAAATGATACTGTTCCGTCACTTGTCGCTCAGAAGGCGCTACCAACTTCACCTGTCGACCGGTTTGGATAATAGTCAACGAGATGCTTTCAAACCAGCTCATCCTGCTGAAATATGACATCAGTTGAAAACTCATTTGGATTCGTAATTTAACTATTTCAGTAGACAAGAAGACTACCGTGGTCCTTTAGAATTCCCCACTAGTCACCTGTTATTATACATTTAGACGTTTCGAGAGGATACGCAACATTTTCAGTGTACGATATACAACCACAGTTCATTTCAGAAGTCTTGGATAAAAAAAGAGTTGCCTGCAACGAAATTTCCTTAGGTACTTTTCCCAATGTGAGAAATAAACTTTCAAACATACCTTATTATTGCTAGAAATTGAATGGCAAACATTTCAAATATTATTTGGAATGAATACAATTTTTGTTGAAATAATGATATTCATCGTTTGTTTACAGATTCTTACAACGAATATGAACCTGCCACATACTCATGAAAGGCTGAACCAATTCCTAAAAATTAGAGCGTTTGATAGATAATTGAATAATCTATCATACGAGTTATCACAAGACCCGCTGTTTTTATTTGTCCTCTCGGCGACGAGTAATGCAACACTATTGTTTTTCTTATAACAAAGTAGTTAAAACTATACCCTTTTACGTAAATTTTGTCTAAACTAAATATCTTATTCCGTTCAAAAGTTGAAAGGAGGGAGACTATTTAAGTATACACTGTATGTAGGTGCTAACTTGATATCGAGTAGGCACAACCACACTAGTAAAAATTTAGGTAGGTATCAAATATTGAAAATTTTGTTATCAAAAATTTTCGAATATTTGGCGTAAACACTTCGAAAAAATCCCCAAACCATATTTATCTGCAAATTATTGCATTTCTTGTGTCATACCTTATGTTGTAGGAATATTTTGCACCACGTGGCAACAACGCAATACGTATCTCACCTATAGTACGTGGGCATACTTTCTTGAAGACTGACTATAAATTGTCCAAGAGAACAATTCATTCAGGTCAGTATCAACTCACCTACACTGTAGGTTGATGGACTAACAACACCTATCAGAAAACAACTACTCCCCCGGCTAATACCATGAAAAGCGTTGGATTATATCCAACAGGTGTCAGTGCAGGATTTTTCGCAGAAGTATTTCCTGCATATGCTTTTGTCAGAATCGATTTTCAATTATTGAAACGTAGGCACACTTGCAGAACGGTTTCNTTACCTTTTTTATACTTGTCTGGCTGTATCTTTCATTGAATATCTTTTGTCATATCTTGATCCTTTTTTTACTTTCTTATTCAAGATATTGTACGCTCTTTTTTGTATATAACATCATACAGTTAATTTAATAGGAATTTCAATAGTTCTACATGTAATGCCAGCCTCAATTTGAATATCATTATAATATTACATTCAGACTCTAGATTATAACTGAGATAAGTATTCTTTTTTGAGTAATAACTCGTTTTCATTCAAGCTCGTAGATTAAACGAAAGCTCTGATTTTCAGCTCTTCTAGTACTTTTAATTTAATCCTGTAAATACCAGTGGTAGGCGATCCACTCGATTGATTTCAACATGGTCCTGCTGCCGAATGAATGAGAGTCATCTTCGAAGTAATTTTGAAGTAACTTCGAAGTAACTTTGATAAATTTCCATCGTGATATTATCCAGGAAAGTAGTTGTTTCCTGGCAGGCATTTATCAGATCCTACGGACAAGAAAGTTGGAAGATTTGAATGTTCGAAAATATCATTTCGAAATATTATTTTTTTTAATTTAACAATTGTTACATTCTCTATTTGGTAATATTCTATATTCGACTACAACAATTCGATCCTATTATATCTCATTTTTAACGACCCGATTCGTTAGAATCTAATCTGGAAAAACGTTCCAGCGAACAATATATAATAACCGGATGCATTTCTGGTAATGAAAGAAGTGGAAATGATGAAATGGGAAAAGAAAATGCAGCCTGTGTAGGCAGTTAGTAGCCCACAGTTATAATTGAAAAAGTTCTAATCAAAAAGTTCCCCTCTTCAGTACGTGACGAAACGATGGAGGGATGTTTGTTAATAGATTATGTTCACTATACTTTCATGAAGATATTTTAAAATGACAAGCAGCAATGAAAAATATTCAAGATAGTGAATTTGAAAAGTTCTATAAAAAAGATTTATAAAAAATATAATGAATTTTCAATAAAGTAATATAATAAAATAACAGGTAGGTATATAAACATTATAATAANACAAGGTTCCTCAGGAAACTATCACTTGAACCCTACTCTTTTCACTTTACGTTCAAATTATGAACTGATTTTTTGTGAGATTATTGTAGATTTGATTTATTAGTTTACCTAGAATCGAAGGCGTGTCTAATACTATTGAAATTATGCCTGAGGAAGATAATGTATAGTGGTTTGAGTTGTATAGAAAATTATCTTGCGGTTGTTATCTGATTTCAAGTCGCTACTCTGTTTCATTTCCAAATTGGTGCTCTGGTATTTTGAAATTTCACACTCATTGTTTTTTCTGCTCATCTTTTAATACTATTTTTTATTGAATTAATTTATTCGATTACATCGGTGTTATTTTGACCATCTTATTGATTTTTTCTTCTCGTAGACTTCTTCAAAATGATATACAAAGATTATACTTTCAGAGAATTTTCATTATGATGAAGAAAGGGTATCAAAAAACCAGCATGCTGATTATCTTTAATGACCCTCAACATTAACGGTCTCGAGGATAATTATTTCTTTTTATATCTACGACTAACGAAAAGAATTCATTCTAGTGTTATGTTTTTCCCGAAGGCGTATTTACTTCCTGTGCTTTAAGAAATCATAAAGAGATTAAGGGATTTCTTCGGAAGGCATAAGCTCTACGCACTCCGAAGTACTTTCCAAAACTTTTCGGAGAAAACGGCTTATCGAAAATAATAAACTACCACGGCTAAAGAGCCACCGGGGTGACTGCGGAAAAACTGGAGATATCATAAAAATTACACAAGAAAGCTCAAGGGAGTGCATGCGATTTGCATACATAAATGAATATGATGTTTTGTGAAAGAGGATACAGAGCGGGAGATGAATAGTGATGTGAGCGATCAATAAGCTGTCGTTGCTGAAATCCTTAAGGCTACTTGAATACATACAGAATTTGGACGGTCGATAGGATTTCGATCGATAATGCATTGCTTTCACACTAGTTAACATTTGACCGAACTTTCATGGATGATGCCTTGTTTTCACGATATATTACGATGATGATCTGTCCTTTGATGATGAATCGATTGATGAATCTGTAAGTATCTTCGTAAGGAGAAATATCGTGGTCTTCACTAACACAGACTGGTTTTTCAAATTGGGGATATTTCAGTCCATTAGTGCGGATCGAAACATCGCTCTCTGGTGTTGGGTCTCGAATGCCTTGTTTTTTGGGCTCTGGTTTCGACTCCAGAGCAATTTTTAGAGAGAATAAATTCACTCCAGTTATCAGGAAATTAAAATAGAATAATTAATATTCGATTATAGAACAACTTTACCCGTTCTGGCCCGATATTAGGATCTGGTCGACCCCTCCCTTCTTTAGGTTTCAATGTCCTCTCGTAAGTAGCATCCAATTGTTGGCAATGATGTCGACTCGAAAGAACAAACATTCAAATCACACCATCTTGAATGGAGAGTTTCGAAACATATTCATTGCTAATGACAGAAAAACACTGATTTACGGTTTTATTTTTCAGTCTGGAAAAATACAACTACACAACTTGGGATCCTATTTCCGGAAAATGTATCATGATTTTTTACCACAAACTTACAACGAGAGCAGCATTCTCATAAAATCCGACAAAAACAAAAGAAATATCCTATCTGCGATTGCATTCATGCAAGGACTTTATCCAAACTTGGACCGCAATATATCAATAGATATATCTGATTGGTCCGTTTTGGGAACTTTGGTCAGTTGCCTAAAATTTGACTTTCATTACATCGTGACAGAAACCACCGACAAATATTTTCGAGAAGTGAATAAAGAAAATAGAGAAACGTACAGGTATATCAGGAGACACACACTGATGCCAACGTATGAGCTTTTAACGGCTTTTACCGTATGGGATACTCTTTACGTGGAGTCACTGGTTAATTTAAAGTTACCGGAATGGACGCAAAAAGTATTCCCAGAAGCACTGGCTGAAGTTTCAAAAAATATGGCGTTGTCGATTTGCTACACCGAAAAAGAACAAATAATCGGTGAGTAAACACGTTTTAAAAGCCTAATACATACTACTGAATTGAAAAGAGGATGCAATCTAAAGTAGATTAGTAATTTTGGAATACTTAATTGATAAAATCATTTTGAATATATTTGAAAAAAAAAGTAATTCGAGAAATATTGGAGAAACTGATTTTTTTTTTCATATGAGATATATGAGTACGTTATGAGTATGTTTTTGTTGACCTCAGTTCAGTTATATTTCCAGACTGTTCCTGAATTTTCTAAGTGAATCCAATTATATGAAAACGTGACCCTAAATTAATTTATAACTATCGCTCAATTTCCAAAACAATCCTGAGCGGTGCCCAGTTCAATTTCAGATCTGTTCTACAAACGCCAATATAGAACCGATCCTGAGCAAAGAACAGTTTCATATTCGATTCAGAATCTACAAACATACGATAAATATCAAAATTTCATAATTATTCAAAACACTCTCCAGTTTATTTAAATAAATGTTCGGAATGATTATCATTCACTTCCGGGTATAAATGAAGTCTGTTTACAAATTTGCTTCTCAAGTTTGATAATTTTTTTGAATTAATTTCGTTATCTACTATCGAACCGTTCTTGAATAGTACAATTTATCATACATAAATTTTTAACAAGAAATGACATGATATTTTATCATTTTTGGATATCATTAATGACAATTTGAAAAAGCCATGAAGGTTTCTTTCGTGAATATACAATTGATGATACTGTTCAATTTGACACTTTATATCAATACTGTTTCATATATTACATTGCGTAGAGTTCTTATGAATGATATTTATTTCAATTTCATAACGAATGTTTGTAGTACAAACTAAAAGTTGAAAATTGATTTTCATACAATTTAATGTAAGGGGTTTTCCAATAAGGACTTGACAACTTTTTTTTTTTAAATAAAACTTAAACCATTTGAAATATTTCCAAAACTTTATGATCGACTTGAAACACAATTGCAACATTTATGAATGGAACTCGACTTCGTCCATATGGCCACCACGGGCACGTCGGCAGCTGTCGATTCGTTGGACCCAATTTTCGATGACTCGGTCACACATTTCGGCCGCAACGGCCGCTATTTCGCGTTCAATGTGGGCTCTGAGTTCTTCCAACGTCGTCGGCTTGTTGGCATAGACCAATGATTTGACGTAGCCCCAAAGAAAAAAGTCTACCGGCGTTAAATCGCACGAACGAGGTGGCCAATTGACTGGTCCGTTTCTTGAGAACACGCTCACCAAATCCGTCATCTTGGCGCATCTTCTCCAGAGCTCAATGAGAGAACATACGTCGGGTCAAATGGTCCATCGGCTTCAATTCTTGAGTCAGTTTGATTTTGTATGAGTGTAAACCAAGATCTTTACGCAAAATTCGCCATAAAGTGGTTTTGGCGATGCCCAGTTCTTGAGAACGCCACGGAATCGACTGATTCGGATCGTTTACTACGGACGCCTGAACGGCAGCGATATTTTGGTCACTTCGACCAACCCGTTGTCTCACTAGCACGGCAGCATCACACAATGAATATGTAGACTCAAATTTTTACACCAAACTTGTTATTGCTTGTCTACTAGGGCGAGCATAACGACCGAAAATTGGAGTCAACGCTTTTAAAGTTGTGGTCACCGACTCCGAATTTCGGTAGTACATTTTTATAATTTGCATACGTTGTTCGTTTATGTACTTTACCATGATGAAAATGTTGAGTTTACTGAAACAAAGGAAAGTAACAGTTAGATGATCAGTGAAATAGTGCGTTCACAAATCAAATTCAAAGTTGTCAACTACCTATTGGAAAATCCTTTATATGCTCTATATATGCTCTGAAAATCGTCATGGTTATTATTCCAATTTTCTCATTTCCTTCATTGGTCAATTTTCTGCATTTTTTGTTAAATCATGGAAAAGTAGGAAGCCAAAAAGCTTTTATTCTCACATTACGCGTATTTACCGTTTTCAATCTTTTTCTTGTTATTGTATACGTACTTTTTTTCACTATGTTTCCTTCTTGATTCACACCAAACAATTCGAGATAAAGCCTTCATCCTCGCAGTCAACGCACTGATGATGTGTGCCGCAGTAGCACACGAAATTTTTGGTACTTCAGGTTCCATCCACCATGATCTACTAACACGAAATTTGTCCTCTCCAATCGTAACTGACACGATAATTTATTGAAACCACTACTACATTCAATTTTTGTAGTGCTGGGTCGTATCACATTCGTATCCTTTATGTATAACATTTACAAAATATTGAAATATCGATAAAAATATTATCACTGACCTGAGGAATATCAGAAACCAATACAAATGAAAAATTAAAAAGAATAGCTGAAAATAACAATTATATTGAGCTAAAAAAATGAAATGAAAATACAATAAAATAAAATACAAATGAAAAATAGAACAAATAAATAAAAAATTGTGAAATTACTAGCCAAGTAACTTTGATTGTTAGTATCCACAATCGTCATCGGGTGATGACTAGACTAATTACTCCGAGAGATGGGTCATTCGAGTTTCTTCACTTATCTGCTCTTTCCTCTTTCCATTTCACCGGTTTAGTGGAGATGACGGTTTGACGGGAGGCCATTTTTCGCTTGATTATGGGATTCCATATGTTGCGTATAGCTAGCGTAGAGATATCAAGCGGTGAAGCGTAAAGAAGAGATAAGTAAAAATACTCGAATGACCCATAAATAGTCATCTTTCGGAGGAATTAGTCCAGTCATCACCCGAAAGCGATTGTGGATACTAACAATCGAAACGTCGTCGTGAAGTAACTTGGTTTGGAATCTCTAATTTTTTATTCAACTGTTCTATTTTTTACTTGTATTTTATTTCACTGTAATTTCCTTTCAGGGTTTTTCTACTTAATATAATTGTTGGGTTCAGCTATTCTTTTTATTTGTTTTATTCGTAGTGGTTCCTTTAGGAATTTCAAATCATTGTATACAGTGCCTTCATTTCAAAACTTCCCACCCCTAGTACGTCGTTTAGCAGGGAGAATTTGCCATAGGCAAAAAACACGTCAATTTAGATATCGAGGGGGAAGTTTAAAACCAGTGCCACTGGTATTTTAGGTGTAACCCCCTTACCCCTAGCTACCCCCACTTAATAATTTTGAATGGCACCCCTATTTTGCAACACATTATAAAAATCTTAAAAATCCTCACTCAGCCCCGTTTATAAAACTGAAACTGGTTGATCCGTTCTCGTAAAATAGGGTAAAGAGAAAATTAATTACAATAAAAAATAAAATAATAGCTATTGCAATTAAATAAATGACCTTACTTTATTAGGTCTTCAAAATGTTCACCATTGGTAGCTAAGCAAAAGTACAATCTATTCTCGAATTCATGCCGGACTTTTGTAAATGTTTCGTTATTAATTTGTCTGCATGTGTCAGTAATCCTGTGTCTTATATCCTGAATGTCCTGCGGGGGAGTTTTGTATACCATTGTCTTCAAATAACCCCAGAGAAAGAAATCCAATGGCGTTAAATCCGGAGATCTCGCCGGCCATTCCAGAACGCCTCTTCTGCTAATCCATTTGTCAGGATACCGTTGATCGAGCCACTGTCGGACATGCAATGCGTAGTGTGGCGGTGCGCCGTCCTGCTGAAAATGAAAATTTTGTTCATCCAAGAGCGGGTTGTCTTCGTTTTCCAGAATTCCAGTCCAGACGTTTATTTTTTGTGGATATTGCGTATGCTCCTTTCGAAACAAGTGTGGATTTTCATTATTCCAGTATCTACAGTTATACTCATTTACAAAGCCATTAAGAAAAAAAGTTGATTCATCACTGAAGCAAATTTTTTTTATTAAATTCGGGTCATTTTGAATTCTCGCAGTCATTATTTCACAAAATTCAATTCACCTATCATAGTCGTCCTCACTGAATTGCTGAAGAATACTGATGTTGTAAGGATATAACTTGTTTAGTATTAAAACTTTGTCTACAGAACCAACTGAAATATCAACTAACTTAGAGACTTTCGAAATTGAAGTAGTAGGCTCAACGGCGAATTGGCCTAAAATCTCAATCTGTGCGGCATCCGTAAGAACTCTCGACTGCTTTACTGGTTTATTGCATACAGAACCGGTCTCTTCAAATTTTTGAATAAAGTCTAGAACATATCGGTGACTCACATTGCATGCCTTTCATTAAAAACCCTGGCGGTCTTACGAGCACACCTATCTTCATCACCATAATTAAAAATAATTTCAGTTCTTTCTTGTAAAGTGTACACCATTACGATTTGTATTACTGTCAGTGCAACTTCACAAACAGTTTAAAATCAGAAATAACTAATTCTGATAAATGTTTTCACCATTTAATTGTAACTGACGCCAAGAAGCAACTATGCCCTTATCTCACTTTCAGCTTAAGCAAAAAAATCTGTGTAAAAAAGAGACATAAACATACCGTTATTGAGTCAGTGGTAGCGGTTCCATAAATTTTTGCATTTTGTTATAATTCATTTTATTTTTGCCCTATTTTACGAGAACGGATCAACCAATTTCAGTTTTCTAAACAGGGTTGAGTGAGGATTTTTTGGATCTTTAAAATGATGTCTTACAAGATAGGGGGTGCCATTTAAAATTATTAAGTGGGGGTAGCTGGGGGTAAGTGTGTTGAACCTAAAATACCACTGGCACTGGTTTCAAACTTCCCCCCGATATCTAAATTGACGTGTTTTTTGCCTACGGTAAATTCTTCCTGCCAAACCAAGTACTAGGGGTGGGAAGTTTTGAAATGAAGGCACTGTTATAGTATTAGACAATGGAAATCCGAACTAATGAAAATCTGTAATGATAACCTTGTTACCATGAGTGCTCTGTAAATATACAAAGGCGCCAAGTGCTCTGTGAATATACAGAGGCGCCATATGCATAATAATTACTTCCAATAACATATGATGTGAATAGATTCTTAAAATTGAACATTCTTGGAAATTTAATAGTTAATTTTTTCTGATTGATTCGGCCTCTACTTGATGAAGATCCACAGTAATTTCGTAAAGTACATCTTACGATTTGTTCTCCACAAACTTAATTCACAAACAATATATCACGACATGTTTCGCTATCACAGTAGCTTTTTCCTACTAAATGATATAGTGGAAGTCAATTCTAGCAAATACTCTAATTTTTATATATCACAACGCAATCATAAGTGAGAGATACCTTCTTCGGTACTTCTTAGATCATAATTCCCTTAACCATCCACTCAACTTTCATACACCTCTTCAAATTATGATTACATAAAGCGGGGTTTCTCAAACTTATTGTAACTCGTGCCCCCATTAGACTTTCCAGATCACAGCTTACCCCTTGAAAAATAATATTGAAAAATATTAGATCGAACAACTAAAGTATTTTTTGCATCGGGGTTTCGAGTTCGATATTTAAGTCTACAAAGTATTGGGTATTTTTCGGTGGTATTTGGAAAATTCTTAGTAGTAGCACGGAATCCGGAACTGTGCCCGATGTATGACAACAGGGTCACCCCCTATTACATGGGACTAATAACATAACTAGCAAAAAGTGGGTGTTACATTTCATGTGTCACCTCTGCCAAGCGGCCTAGCCCTTTTGGGAATAAAAAGCCCACTATCACGTTTGATTTCAAGATTTCATCGCGCTATTTGCGAGTACTTCTGAACATATCACACACTGTGGCTCTGAGTATTGAGATTCTTCTTTGCACATAATTCTAATTTTCAAATAGTTTTCGTCATATTTTTTTTGTTTTGCTAATGAAATGTGTTTCTGTGATTTGCTTGTTTTCGCAAGCTTGGCCACCGCTATGACGTAAACCTATTCGCGTAGCTCCTACGACTCAATGTCGTTCCCCCCAGAGGTAGGCGTACCCCTGACCTAGAGCCTATTATATCAATTATACATCAATAATACAGTAATGGTGATCCATTTAGATCCCATTGGTCATTCAGTAAAATTTATGAATTTTCAAGTTCATTAGTTTCCATTGCTTCCAAATAATTCTTTGACATGTTTTGGACAAACAGAGAAAGTGGCTTCATTTTTGAAGAAACAAGATATAAAAATTGCATTCACAACAGGTAATACGAATGAAAAGTTAGTTGAAAATAATAATGACAAAACATCCAAATTCGAGAAATCAGGAGTATATAAATTAAATTGTGGAACTTGTCCTAAGGTGTATATTGCAGAAATCTGCAGAACACTCAGCAATCGCATCCAGAAACATCATATGACCTATGTAAATGAGAAAACAAGTTCAACATATTCAAATCATCTTCTAGAAGAAAATCACATTTTCAACGGAGATTTGGAAATTTTACATTTAAAAAATAAAGGTTTGAAGCTGAATTAATTGGAAGCAATAGAAACTAATAAACTAAAAAACAAACATTTAACTGAATGACCATAGATTTAAATGGATCACCATTACTGAACTTGATTTTTTAGAATCCGACATTGTATTATTTATGTAAAATTGTAATCATATCTTGAGGTATATAAAAGTTGAGTACTTACTAACTTTTTTGACAGTAAACTTTTGGTAGTTTTCATGAAAAAACCTAATTCTCACACCTTTTCCAAGTAAAAAAGGTACACCTCCTCAACAACGCTGAAGGTGATCGTTTTCGAGATATTTACAATTTTCTATATCGATGCATATTGCTTTATAGCCAAATTTGATTTCAATAATTTTTGTCACTCTCCCCTTGCAAATTAAGTTAATTAAATCGAGTAGGCTATGAAAGTTTGTTTATAAAAATAGAAGTTCGCTGTCACATTTTCAACTATTGATTGACAAATTCACAGTTCGGAGTTTATAAAGTGATTTTTGGTACCATGCCCGACTTTACGAATGCTGAAATGGCTGATATGGTTTTTGCATACGACTTGGCTGACGGAAATTCAAGCGAGGCTAGACGCATCTATCAAGAAAGGTATCCCCAACGCGTGACTCCTTGTGCAGCGACATTTGCGAATCTTTTCCGGCGACTTTCCGAATCTGGAAGTTTTGAAACAAATTCTGTAGTAGGACGGCCACGGATTACAAGAACTGTAGAATTGGAGGAGGCGGTTCTCGAAGAAATTAGTGAACATCCAGAGACAAGTACGGGAAAAATTAGTCAAACTTTGAATGTGAGTCGAAAATCCTCTTCACAGACGGGTCCAATTTTTCAAGAAATCGTATCATGAATTTCCATAACAACCACATCTGGGCGGAAGATAACCCACATGCGATAACGCAAACTCATTTCCAAGACAGATTCTCTTTTAATGTATGGATAGGCATAATTGGGGATTATTCAATTGGGCCCTATTCTTTAGAGAATAGGAGGAGGAGGAGGAAGGAGAGCTCTCCTTACGTTTGACTAGAGATGCTCGTCTACATTTTTTTGAACACAAGCTTCCCCAACTTATGGAAGATGTTTTCATTGATCTCCGAAATCACTCTTGGTTTATGCACGATGGAGCTGCTACTCATTTTAGTGTAATAGCAAGAAATTTTTTAGATGTACCATATCCCCAACGATGGATAGGAAGAGGAGGCACTGAGCATTGACCCCCGAGGTCACCGGACCTCAATCCCGTCGATTTTTTCTTTTGGGAACACCTAAATCACTAGTTTATGCTAGCCCCATTGAAAACGAGGAAATGTTGACGAATTCTTTGATGAGGAGAGCAGAAGCGTGTATTACTGTTGGGGATCGTCACTTTGAACAGTTGTTGTAATAGTTGTTTATTTCAATTTTTATATGTTCATTCTCCTAATGAATAACATAGTACTTCTACGAATTGTTTTTTTACAAACTACGAAATGTAGCACTTTCTAATTGAATAATTGAACCTGACAATTTTTTTTAATTGGAATGAAAAAGCCCCGGTTAAAAAAAAGCCGGAACGGGAAAACGCCGAAAAAAGTTGAAGAAAAAAAAAGAAAATGCAAAAAAACTCATGACAAAAACGTACCCTGTTTTGAGAAATTTCAACAATCTGTATTTCGAAAACGAATCATTCTTCGGTTAACATTTTATAGGAAAAAGTTGTTTATTTTGACGAGATCCACCGCATACTTACTTCTTGTAATGTTCTCAGCAACTTCACTTAGCGCCCTAGGAGCTAAGTAATATGCATCGATATAGAAAATTGTAAATATCCCGAAAACGATCACCTCCAGCGTTGTTGAGGAGGTGTACCTTTTTTACTTAGAAAAGGTGTGAGAATTAGGTTTTTTCATGAAACGTACCAAAAGTTTACTGTCAAAAAAGTTAGGGCAATTTGAAATAATGACAGCATACGCAGCGCCCTCTAGATGTTCAATGAAATTCAATACGAAATTATGATTCCACACGTCAAAAAAACCCCGGGTACAGAATTTCGTGCAAATAACTCATTTTTTGCAAGATTTATTTTTAAAAAGCGACCAAAAAAATTCAATTTCAACACCCCGTNTTTTTTTATTATTAATCGAACCTACGACCACTGACCTAGCTGGGTAACTTGTTAGTGGTGTTTCATTGCATCCCTCTACTGCTAGTATTTTAAAATTATCATTCGGCAAAATACACCCTAGCAACTTCACTTGAATATTTCAACGTACTTATATTATACCCTGTATTTGGAATACACAAAGAATACGATAATTCATTTCTCACATCAAATGTATGGTCGTTTGAGCCAGAATCCACTATTCTTTTATAATTCCATTATTTTTATTTCTCATATAGCCATTCTCTTTCAGGGGCTGGACCGTTTCTGAATGAACTGATACAACACTTCGATTGCATAGTACAAAATTGTTCCAGCAAACGAGAAATCGTTCTTTACAGTGGGCACGACGTGAACATCGCATGTTTTTTGAATACTTTCGGAGTTTTCGAAACATTATCACCGGAAATGCCTCCCTTCGCCAGTTCTCTGATATTTGAAATGCGAAAAATTGAAGACAGTCACATTATCAATGGATACTACAAACCGCAAGATGAAATGATTCCTATCAAGTTCAGGGGTTGTGGATATGACTGTGCTTTAGAAGACTTCAGATATATTTTCAGAAACGTAGTGATAAATAAAAGAAAGTGGTTATGGAAGTGTTTTGCAATTTAAGGAAATGACCAACTGTCAATAACATTTATTTTCATTTCTTTCACACGTTTTTTTTTCTTCTTTTTCAGTAACCCAAAAAAGGTGTCATGTTCACGAACAGTTGTGATTGAAAACAATACAACTGATACTAGTTTCGAATCATCTGAGAAAAATCAATCATCACCCGACGAATACTGTGGATACAATCGAAACGTCGTGAAATCACTCGGATTGGAAATCATTTATTGTTGATGAAATATGATTTTACAACCTACACCAATCAATTTATTTGACAATAATTTTTCTAACATATTTTATGAATTCGCGTGTTCATATTTTATATTGCCTATTCATTTCTTATCTCAATTTGAGGCATTATTTCCGTTCTTCATAAAATCATTAGGATAATATAATTTTGTCGTTTTGTCTCACTGACCTCGAATATTGCGGAATTTTTACTCATAAGCTGATTATCACATTGCTTATCACAATTCTATTTTTTTTTTCAATTATGAAATCAAGGAGAAATGAGCAACCTTGCATGCAAAATATCATTTTCCACTGTAATAACAGGTTGACGGTTGACATCCGAAAATAATAAAAACTGCTGTACAATTCAGAATTTGATATATCATATAGTGTTGCTTATAATATACTTACAGTTAACCGCAAATCTTACATAAATGATACCCATTTTGGCTTCAGAAAGGGAAATTTACCTGGAAAAAAAATCAGCATTAGATTGGTATTCTAAGTACAGTATTACGAATTTGGAATGAACACAACTAATTTAAATTAGGACTGTTCAATAGATATGGGAATATAAGTTTATGAATCATTCAAAATCGAAACCTCAACAACCCATTCAAAGAATTGAATGGCTAAGTGGATGAAGAAGTCAAGAATTATTTTTTTTATTTGGAACAAAAATGCTTCGAAGTTTCATTACTGTAGCTTGATGAACATAAACAGTTCTAGGAATAATTTACAGGAGATTTTTCCCAAAAACTGATTTTCCTAAGAATATACCTCTTTCAGTATAAATATCTATCAGTCTGTCTGTCTCGCTGAATGAATGAATGGAGTCATTCAAAAAGAAGGTTTATGTGTATGGTTTACTGATGTTATTCCTGACAATGGTGCTACCCTCTGAGCTTTCATCGAAACGATGTTTATATGGGTCTACAAAGTTCGCGGTAGAATATTTCTATATTTAAAGGGTAGCTTACTATACCTACCGTTTTTGTTGTTAAAAAATGGTCACATACAATGTGGTAATTGGCATAGTTATTTAGACGGATCCGACATTGATACTTATCAAATAAATACGTTGGTTGCCTCAAGCATTTCATGAATCATGCTTTTAATACCATTTAATTGTAATTCATATCTCAATAGCTATCGCAGAATCAATTTAAACTATCGCAATCGTTACAGATATCCCCGATAAATTTATAATGTTTCAGGTTATTGTGGAATACTCTCGATTTTTCCTGACCGTTCTGGAATTTTGTAGAAAGCAAAAATTCTGGACCTTCCATCTTCAAAAGCATGCTCTTCATGTAAAACGAGAACTTTTTTTCGTGATGAATATTGAAGTTGCTGTAAATATCTTATAATTCTAAATTATATATCAATAGTTATCGCTGAATTGAAACTATCGCAAACGTTCCAGATATCCCGAACAATCCAGATTGCTTCGGGATATTATATGGAATATTCCCGATAACTGTCAATTATTCCAGACCGTTCTAGAATGTTCTAGAAAGTGCGAATTCTGGACCTTTCATCTTCAAAAGCATGTCTTCATGTTAAAAGGAGACCTTTTCAGCTGACGTAAAATTGTGACACCATTGGGATCTCGGAAACTATGAGAGACACGAAGATGGTTAAATTGGGGCAAACTAACTATATTCCGTTGAGAAAGTTCTGAAATTCCGAGTATATCCGGATACACCCGAAAAAAAAACAGAAATTTCGGAAAATGGTTTTAATTTTTCTGGCTTCATTTTTCGAAGGATTCGAAAATAAATTGCACTTCCACGTTGCCACTTTTTCCCTGCTGCATAATGGCGTTTTCAGATTCGCTATCCGACGTTTCGTGAAACGGCCACCATCATCAAATTTACTTTTTCTTATGGGCGCTACATTGGATTCTTTCTGTTTTGAATAGAACCAAATTTTACCTTTTCAATGATGTATCATAAGTTATCATTTTTATTAAAAAAATTGGAGATATTGAAAAAAAATAATTCTTATTATAATAGGCTTTGACTTTGCTAATTCTAAATTTGACTTTCAGTTTGTTACATTCAATGACATTTTGTTATTGTGCAAGTCATTGAATTTTTGGCGAAAAATGGCTTTCACGAATGAAGAAAAAAGAGTTATGATACAAATTTATTAAAAATACGACAGAAACATTGTTAGGACATCGGAAATGTATTTGAACTTGTATCCCGAAAAACGAAAACCACATCTAACTATGTTCAAGTTATTGGATCAAAATCCCACCGAGTTTGGTTTATTTGAAAAGCCGAGGGTCGGGATTCTGGTATCTTATGGAAAAGTTGATTTTTTCCAAAATATTTCTTCAGTTTTGCTCTCTTGTTGCATATTTTGTTCAGTAAAAATTAGGTGTGAAGTTGATTGTAGATTCAGCATTTTATTTGTTCTACTATAGACTTTCCAATAATTTCTATTAGGTCATAATGAAAATCAAATAGAAGACCGAGCTGTCTTAAATTTTAACACGCTTTTATTAGCTTCACCTGTATGTATGTTTGTTTGCTTATAACACTCAAGCTCGGGATCTGTATTGACAGAATTATCAACATTATTGTTTGATCTATTCGCGGGCAGATGGCGCTGTACGTGACCTCCTTGATATATCGACATTATTGCTTGATCTATTCGCGGGAAGATGGCGCTGTACGTAACCTCCTTGATATATCGATATTATTGCTTGATCTATTCAGGGGCAGATGGCGCTGTACGTAACCTCCTTGATATAATTCGAACTCACTTTACATGTATTTGTTCATTTGAAAAAAGTATTTTTTTTATTAATACGCGCGCCTGCTGCCTTTTTTGTAACCCGCCTTTGCGCGCCTGCTGCCTTGGGTTTGGTAGCTGATTTTCAGGCTCCCTCTCCGGAATCGGAAAATATCAATGGTCATATTTCTAAACAATATACGGCTGATTGATCCCAAAGTTTAGATAAAATACATATAGTTTAAAAAGACTGAAAAACTCTTTCATAACATGCGAAACTAAAAAATTAAAAATAAATACAGTTTAAAGAACTAAAAAACACGCTTTTAAAGAACTTCAAACTGAAAAGTTAAAAATATTTTTTTAAATGAGCCTAAAACAATAAGGAACGAAAAATACTAGTATTATTGTGACAAAAGCGTGGGCGCTTTGTGCCATATTTTTTGTATATCAAGCGCCGGTCGCTTTCTTCACAATAAAACTAGTATTTTTCGTTCATTAAAAAAAATATTTTTAACTTTTCAGTTTGATGTTCTTTAAAAGAGTGTTTTTTAGTTTTTGAACTATACATTTATTTATTTTTAGACAATGAACTCTTGTATTCAACCCGTTGCGTTGTGCTCAAGTGATTCTATATATTATCAAGGTAGAGACGGAGTTTAAAAGTAAACAACATGAAAGCAGCTCTTTGTTTCGTCGATCTTCCGCTGGTAATGTATCATTTTGTGTTCTGTACTAACTTGATGGACAACTATACAATAAGTTTTTCAAATATGTTTGAATATTCTTTTCTGGGTAGGATGTTGAAATTTCCACATCGTTTTAATATCTCAAGTAATAATCAACATGGGTTCAGATTCTATAAATACAGCTGCAACTTCAACCTTGAAGAATAAGGAGAAGGATATTTTGTAATTTCAGCAAGGCATTCGACTGCGTTCATCATCAACTTTTTGTTATAAAAATACAAAATCAAAGGCACAGTTCTTAGTTGAATATCTTCTTTTTCGAATGACTGCCTTCAATATATAACTATAACTTAACGTAAAACGTAAAAAATATACCATTTCTGAATCTAAAGTAGTTAACGTTGGGATTCTACAAGTGTCTATTCTGGGAAAAAAAATTATTTTTGTTGCATAGAAATTATCTTGAAATATTTCTCACAAGGATAATGCAACGGTGGATGCTGATGACACCTCGTTGATAATATCCGAGAAGAATTAAAACATTTCGTATCTGAAAGCATCAAAGACACAAATCATCAAATTTCACACCAGGCACAAATGTATCAATTTGCAATACATCGAAAACAAAATTCTAAGGGCAGTACATGTATATATTCAAATAAAAAAATTATAAATTTATGCTTTCTGTCAGCAACTTTAGGTTCCGGTATCTCGAAATACCTTCGAAAACAGACACAGAACGAAGGATTATTGCTTCAAATTGTTGAATTTGGTACTCGATACTAGACTAAAATGCTTCCATAAAATAGGAAGCTGTGGCATGAAAACTATAACGTGTTAGGAATCACACGTTAAAAGGTAAGACCTCGTTGGTCCTTAGCTCGCACAAGTTTCGACCTCTGAGGATTGTCGTTCGTAGGGATACGACAGGCGGTTAACGGAAAAAATATATTTTAAACATATTTCTTTTAAACATATATTTAAAGAAGGGTTTTATTTCAACCGCTTGTGACATTGTGAATAACACTGTGATGAATATAATTGACTTCGCTATTATTGTGATACAATAATTATTCATACAATCACAACATTATAACCACTTGTCTTTGCGCGTATCATGGCTTTAATCATATTCTAACAAACCGAAATGTTTCAATAATTATTCTTCTATTCCTGGAGAATACAAATCGAACAAATCAAAAATCGTCATAAATGGTGTACCTAACACGATTTTGTAATAATTTTTCGTATATGAAACTTTATCTCGCCAATTTTTCAGAAGTTTCAATAGTTATTTTGCTATTTCTGGCGAAAATTTCAAAAAATCGAAAATAATGAAAATAGGTTCAGATTTTTTGAATTATAAATGTAATGTCACGATTCTGCGCATCCATTTCATATTTGACTGGTTTAGTCAACTTGATTCGTTCAGGAAACAGTGAACTACGGTTTTTCTTGTAGCTTTGTAATATTTTTCAACACCCTCCAGCTGATGGCTTGATACAAAATAAAACGAATATTCCATATTAGACAGCATGATAGGTATACAAAATTTGTTAATTATATTTCACCATTTCATATTTATTGAAGAAAATTATTCTCTAAGTAATACAGAAAAAATATAAAGAGCAAACAGAATGAAACCACGAAAAAATTACGGAGTAGGCGCTCAATGTCAGATAAAATTATTTACAGAGACACACATACTTGTGATTAGTTCTCTCGCAACTGATACAAAGTGATGATGTTATCGTTAACAATAACGTACATTTTGGCCGCTGCGGTAGCGGGCATATATTTTTTCCAAAAATGGATCTATTCATACTGGGAACGAAGGGGTGTGGAATACATCGAACCTGAATTATTTTTCGGGAATGTCAGAGAGATGATCCTGAGAAAAACTTTCAGTGGAGATCTGTTCAAGAGATTTTACGATGACCTGAAATCTAGGAAAGTCAAGTATGGTGGAATATACGCCTTTTTTTCGCCAGTTTTCATTCCTATTGACCTAAATCTAGTCAAAAGCATAATGCTGAAAGATTTCCACCATTTTGTGAACCGCGGAGGATACGTGAATGAGAAAGCAGATCCATTATCGGGTCATCTCTTCAGTTTGGAAGACGAGAAATGGAGGAATCTCCGGGCAAAGCTGACACCCACTTTCACATCAGGTAAATTTAGATCCAATTCCAGATCTACTCTAATGTGATCATATATTACAGTTAAATTAGCTCGATATTTTGAAACTGGTTTCGTTATTGAAATTCTGTGAATTATATTCATTAAAATTTTGAAAGAACTCGTTATTTTAACACATCGACACGTGTTTAGATCACACCAAACCGTTATTTTAACACCTCGGCATGTATTTCTTCCTCTTGAAAATAATCGAAACACGTGTCGAGATGTTAAAATAACGGTTTGGTGTTGGGAAAAAACTTCAGTAATATTCATTACGACATCAAAGGTTCAAACCGTGCGTCAATAGAATCATTGTTATAACTACTAAAAAGAGCCTGAATTCGGTGAGATAGTGAATTACCAAAAAATATTTAATCAAATTAAAAAAACGAAACTGATGAAATAATGAGGTTAAAGTGAAATTTAGACAGTAATATTTATTATCATTTCGATAACCGTCAGTTATGATATTTTTAACTGTATGACTGTTATTTCCTTCACACACGTAGTTCACTACATATATTTTGCCAAATATTGATAACTGATTCAAATTATTTTCCCAGAGATATACTATCCGATATTTCGGGCATGATCATTTTTTTTTTGTTTCCAGTTCACAGAGATCTCTGATGCTGCGTACCAACCTAGATCGTATTTCATTTAGAATTATTCAATCAAGAAAACAATTGAAGCAGATATGTTGTTTGTTTATGTCAAAAACATATAGATGGCCTTGACAGAAACACATCTATATGCTTCTTTATTATTTTGGCAACCTGATTTTTTCAGTTGGTTATTTTTGAAATATTCGGAAAATTAAAGTTTGTGAAAAAACAATTCTATTCTACTATATTCTACTAGAGTTCGGAGATCTTATTGCGGCGTTTTCTCTAAGGCACAGAAGACTTAAATCATTAGAAATATAGAAAAAATCTGGTTATTGATCTTTCTTAAGAATGTGACAATGCATTCAAGCTTAGTTGTGTTAATTTTCTTTTGTTGTCTGATCTTTTATTATTCTTGAACTGAATAATTGAATGTTATTAGCAATGTTATACGCGTTTGTGAGTTTGAGAGCGTTACTTTCAATAAATGTTTTCCTGTAGCTGTCTTCCAAAATTAAAACGTTTTGAATTGGACCTCAGGGACCGAATATAAACAGTTGTAATAGGGGTTTATGTTCTTGATCAGCGGAGTAACAAATCATTTGTGTTAGGAATCACACGTTAAAAGGTAAGACCTCGTTAATCCTTAGCTCGCACAAGTTTCGACTTCAATCTAGGTTATTATTCTATTCACACACATTTAGTGTGTGTGAATAGTTTTTCAAAACAAATGGGCAAATTTATTTTTTCTGATTACGAAAAGATTATTATTCTTAATGTATATAACGCTTTTATACACCAGAATCCTTCATATATCGTCAATACTCTTAGACAGGTTCACATGTACTTTTTTTGTGATTAACGGAAAACAGATTTTACAGACGGGTCCAAAAATTACGCCCAAGGTGTCATTGGATTCGTATTTTTACCTGGAAAGTTTGAGGAAAGGTCCGAAAAGGCGCTGAAAAAAATTACAAAAGTTATAAACAATTGAGTGAAAGAATTGGGGCTTTAGTTTTTTTAATATCTCGAAGAATTTTCAAAATTTTGGAAATTTGACAAAAGATCTGTAAAGATCAACAAAATTGCGTAAAAAAAGTCCCGACTCCCGAAACTGTGTTTCAATTCTTTATAAGTTTCACAGAGGCCTGGAAATAGAGCCAAAAACGGGTAGTCTGGCTTCCGCGCGCATTTCGTTACTCTAACATAAGAAGAAAAAAAAATTAAACATATTAAATGCGAATATTAAGGATTGAAAAAAATCATGTGATGTTGGGATACATCAGTAAACAATAATCCGTAGTCAAAAAATTTTTATCCCAATTTTAACATTAATTATGCATTTGTTAACAATAATTTAGGCATAATTATGTTTATGTTGATGTAAAAACCCCTATAATTATTAAACTAAAACCCTGGCATTTTCTTTCTTGGGTGAAGTTATTCTTAATAGGCTAGAAAATAGATTTCCGTTGCCGAAATGAAAAAAAAATGTTTACTTTTACTTTTTTATCAATAATTGAAAATTATAAATGAAAAAAATGCATATTTTTTCAAAATTTTTATTATTTCAATGTCTCATTGTTTATAAGCAATTCGAATTTTTTTTGCACCATGTTAATAGAAAAAAATCATGATTAAGAAAAATGTTTCCTTAAAAAAATTCTCTGTTGATAAAAAATGTGTTTGTTAATTAACAATCGATTTTTGTGACTAAATATTAAAATTAAGGAACCTTTTTTTTTAAATCATAAATTCTATTGTTCTTTAAGGTTTTGAAAAAACTTATTTTTTATTCTT